GATTAAATCAGATTGATTTACTTTTTAAAATCAGAGTTACAGAGAAAGAAGAAGAGACAAAGAAAGAGAAAGAGAGAGAGACCCCTTCTATCTACTGGTTCACTACCCAAATGGCCGTAATTGTTGGGGCTGGGCCAGGTCGAAGCCAGGAGCCAGGGTTCTTCCAGGTCTCCCAAATAGGAGCCCAAATACTTGTGCCACTGCTTTTCCCAGACCATTAGCAGGGAGCTGGATCAGAAGTGGAGCAGCCAGGACATGAGCCAGCACCCATATTGTATGCTGGTATAGCAGGCAGTGACTACCCAATACACCACAACTCGGGTCCTTTCACAGGACTTTCTAGCAGGTAGGTTCTTGGCTGAAAATCTTCACACAGACAGGTTATGTCACATCTTCTGTTTGCAGGGGAGTTGTGTGCTCTCAATTCATATGTTAAAGTCTTACCCCTAATGATTATATTTGAGATGGGAAGGGATAAATAGTTAAAATGAGGCTGTCAGGATAGGCCTTAATCTAGAGGGCATTAGGTAGAGCCACAGAGGGAAGACCATGTAAAGATACAATGTGAAGAATACTGTCTACACGCAAAGGAGAGAGAACTCGGAAGAAAAAAAAAAACTTGCAGATACCTTGATCTCAAACCTCTAAAATGAGGAGAAAATACACTTTGTACCTGCAGTCCCAGCAAATTAACATTTCTTCCTGGAACTTTCTTAAGCTGACCAATTGAGGTTTTGACATAAAAATTTCTGATATGAATGCCAGAGATTGACAAAACTGTTTTATTCTAAAATAGTTCTAGAGAAAAGCATAGAATAAAATTTGAAACAAATAAATGATCTAAAATGAGCATAGCTGCACACATCCCAGGGCACTTGAGAAAGTTCGTGAAAATGAAATTTAAAAATAATATATTTTTATATGCCAAAAATATGCATGCATACGAAAGGTACTCAAAAAGTTAACAGAAAATGTACAGTATGGAAAAGGGACTATGCATAGATTTAAAATGTCCACACAATGGTAAACATATTCTAAAATTCAGTTTTCCATGAACTTATTGAAATATTCTTGTATGTATATAAGTATATAATTTTATATATTATATACCATGTATGAACATCATCTTGTTTTAGGTGCTATGTATTTTAGAAAAGCATACATTATAATCTCTACCCTCTAATTACTATGTGAGTATGGAAAGAAAATAACATATGAAAGAAAAGTAAATAACACAGAGCAGTGTAGATTGAAGTACTCATTTGAGTGCCATAGATTGTAAGTGCTGTAGCAATTATGAATGATAGGTTCTAGGTACATTTGCTATTTGACTGCAGTGAAAAGAAATACTCATACCAATTCAAGTGTATATTTGTCTCCTGAGGGAGTATACAAGAACCCTATGGTTTTATCAATTTGTACTTTAGAAAATTATATGTAAGAAGAGTTTTAGTTTTTATAGATTTCAATAAGCATGGATACTTATAGAACTTATATAATGAACAAATGTATTTGAGACACTATTATACCTGAAAATTTTATATTATATATATAAATATCTAAATGTATACTTATAAATATTTATATATAAATATGTTTCCTGGAGCTTCTACTACAAAGAGCCACAATGTGGATGACTTAAAGGAATAGACATTTATTGTCTTGCAGTTCTTGTCGGTATAAATCTGAAATTATCAAGTGCAGGGCCATGCTCCCTGTGAGATTCTGTGTACAAGCCTTTCTTCTCCATTCTAGCCTCTGGCAGTGGCCTACAATCTGCTATTCTCTGGCTTGCAACTACATTATCACCTATCCATGCCTCTATCTTTACAAGGCATCTCTCTTCATATTACCACACTGTCACCAGTGACATTGGACTGAGGACACTGCTCATACTGGATTAAAGGCACAGTCTACCCCAATAGTACCTTATCTTAGTTAACTACATTTGCTAGGATCTTGTTTCCAAATAAGGTTGCATTCTTGGCTAGCGACATTAGTTAGACATCATTGGGGAGATACAATTCAATCCATACATATGTTTTGTGGTAGGGACATTTAAGATCCTGAAATCTATCTTAACACATTTTTATGTGTAAAATATACTAGTATTCAATAGGCATGATTTTGTACAACAGAACTCTAGAACTCACTAATGTCATGGAATTGAAACTTTATATGCATTGAGTAACAACTTCCTACTTTCTTGCTGCGACCAGGCCCTGGAAACCACTATTTCACTCTACTTCTATCAGTTTGACTATGTTAGATACCTAATATTTATAGAAGTATGCAGTTTGTCCTAATTTATGGTTTATATCACTTAGCATAAGGGCCTTGAGGTATAGTTATGTTGTAGCAAGATTTCCTTCATTTTAAGGGCTGAGCAATACCCCATATTATGGATATACCTTCTTTTCTTTGCACACTCATCATTTTGTAGTATTTTCTTTTTTATTTATCTATATAAAGTGAACAGATTTCATGCATTTTGTATGTACAGTTTAAAGAACAAAATGACCTTTTCTACCCTCTCACCTTCACTCCCTCTATCCTCTTTCCTTCTTATTTCCCTTTTAATATTAATGATGTACTTTATATTTACTTTATAAGCACAAGCTTAATCCTCCACTAAATAAAGAATTCAACAAGTAGGAAAGGAGAAAGACCACTGTTCCTCGTGAGTATAGACAAGAGCTATAAATGATGATCAAATCTTAAGAGATCGACTTCATTCATATACATTACATGTTTGTACTGTATACATTAGCTACCACAAGTCAGAGAAAAAATATGATATTTGTCATTTGGGGACTGGCTTATCTCATCATTAGATGGATATTTAAGTTTTTACCTTGTTTTAGCTATTACAAATAATGCTGTAATAAATATAGGAATGCAAATGTATCTTCAAGATTCTGATTTCAATTCTTTTAAATAAATATTCAAAATGGGATTGCTGGGGACTGGTGCTGAGGGGCAGTAAGTTAAGTCACTGTTGTAACAACTGCATTCCAATATCTGAGTGCCAGTTCAAGCCCTGGCTACTCTGCTTCCTATCCAGTTTCCTGCCTGGAGAAACAATGGATAATAGCTCAAGTTCTTAGATCCCTGCTACATATATGGGAGACTTGGATGGAGTTCCTGTTCATTGCTTTGGTCTGGTTAAACATTGGTTGTTGTGGGCATCTGGGGTGTGAACAGCAAATGGATGATTCTTTCTCTCTGCCTTTCTGTCACTTCTTTAACTCTGCCTTTCAAATAATAACAAAAAGCAAAACTAGGGTTCCTAGATCTTATAGTGGTTCTATTCTTAATTTTTTTGCAGGAACTCCATATTATTTTCCACAGTGACTATATACCGTGTTGCCTTTTCACCAACAGCATACATGGGATCCAATTTCTCCCTGTTGATACCTATTATCTTATGTTGCAATAAGCCTACTTCATTTCATTCAAGGGAAATGAAATCAGTATGTCCAACAGATATCTGCACTCCCATGTTTATCACTACATTATTCACACTTGTAAGATTATGGAAATAGGCTAAGTTCTCATAATGAATCAATGGATATAGACAATTTTAAATACATAAATGTAATGAAATTCAGCCATAGAAAAGAATAAAATTCTGTCATTTGTTACAACTTGGGTAAACCAAGAGAGATCAGATTAAACAAAATCAGCCAGAAAGACAAATATTATATGATTGCATGCATATATAGAAGCTTAAATGTTGACTGACAAATTGAGAATAGAATTGTGATTACCAGAGGCAGGGGAAAGGGTGAAGAAGATTGAGAGATAATGGTCAAAGAATAGGATATTTCAGTTGGGAAGAACAGCTTTTTGTTGTTTGTCTGTTTTGGTGGTTGTTATCCCAACTGGTATAGGGTGGTTTTGATTTGCATTTCCTTCATAATTAGTAATTTTGTGCATCTTTTCATAGACCTGTTGGCCATTAAGAAAAAAAGACATCCTAACTTTGCGGTGAGTGATAAGAGTTTGCACAGCATATAGTATAGTCCTCAAAAGTACAATTTATGCGGTTAAAATGTCTGGCTCCCAGCATTAGTTTTTAGGTTTCTTTTCTATGTAACCCACCTCCCTTTCTGCCTCTTAATTTTCTTATCTGCAAAGTGAGGAGACATGACAGAACCTACTTAAACTTACCTACCTGAAAACTAAAAGTGTTAAAGCCGACAAAGCTGAGATCTTAGATACATTGCGGGGAGGGGGGTCTAAGTACATTATTACATTGCTACGCTGGTAGGCTAATTTTCTCTGAGCTTTTCAGATGAATGCCTTTGCCCTACTTCACAGAGTAATTCATACTCAGGCATATCAAGCAACAAACATAAACTCACATGGGAAGCACATGGAGCATCACACAACCCAGCTGACTGGTTTTGGAGTGAGCACTCTGTTAGCCTGTTATGAGGCTTCCATGGGCAGCAGGCACCATTCCAGCCCAAGGCACATTAAAAATCAAAAGAAATTAATCACTGTTGTTAAAGGCTTGGTTTGAGGAACAGTTTCCTCACCACTTTAATCTGCTTTGAAAGTTAATAAATAGTTTACAATTTTTTATTAGATTTATAAGCCAACTCATAAGAAGTATTTTAAAATATAGAAATCATGGGCATAATATTAAAAACTGAAAATATTATTCATAATTTTTAAAAATACATTTGTGTCTTGTGCTGTGTAATCTTACAAATAATGTAGCATTTTCCATAGCCAAATATTTTTTTATAACTCAAAAATATTTTGATGAAAGAGGTTGAATAAGTATTTTCTTTGAAAAAAGAGAAAACTGTATTGGAAAGTTGGCCTTAAATAGATGATTCTTTAATGCTATTTACCTATGCACTTACACCCTGACTGCAATTACAGTATATAGATAAAATATGAAGCTTCTAATTTATAAAATTTTCTTCCTGAAAATCCTTCTTGGAATAATTTTAAACTTTACACTAGAGTAAACCACTGGCACTTACTGTTTTTTCTCACAGTGGGTCTTATTGTCTCTATAAAGTTAGGTCTCTGATGTGGAATAAGAATACTTCTCCAGTCCTTGCACATTACCACTTTGTAAGTGACTTTCTTTCCTGTCTTTGAACAAAGAGAAGAGTACATTTGCATTTGAACTTAACAACAGAGTAGAGAAATAAAAAAGAATCTTTAGAATGCAACTAATTTTCCCCAAAGACAGTTTCTGAGTCATTTTCAAACATAGTAAATGTTTAAAATAAATGACTATTTTTTTTTTTTTTTTGACAGGCAGAGTGGACAGTGAGAGAGAGAGAGACAGAGAGAAAGGTCTTCCTTTGCCGTTGGTTCACCCTCCAATGGCCGCCGCGGCCGGCGCGCTGCGGCCGGCGCACCGCGCTGATCCGATGGCAGGAGCCAGGAGCCAGGTGCTTTTCCTGGTCTCCCATGGGGTGCAGGGCCCAAGCACCTGGGCCATCCTCCACTGCACTCCCTGGCCACAGCAGAGGGCTGGCTTGGAAGAGGGACAACCGGGACAGAATCCGGCGCCCCGACCGGGACTAGAACCCGGTGTGCCGGCGCCGCTAGGCGGAGGATTACCCAGTGAGCCGCGGCGCCGGCCCAAAATAAATGACTATTGATAGAGGGAAAGAAATGCCTTTCAACCAGATAGAATTGCATCAAAATCTTAGGTACAGTGAACTTGAGGACTTCCCACTATCTAGGTTTGCCACTTTTTCACTGTAAAATAGTTTATATATATATATATATTAATATGTAATTATATTATATTAATTAAATATAAGATTAAGAAAATTAACAAATTATGCTCAATCTATTCAACAAAAGTTCCTTCTCTTTTAAAGATTTATTTATTTATCTGAATGAGAGAAATAGAGAGAGGAAGATTTTCCATCTGCTGGTTTACTCCCCAAATGCCCTCAATGAGTGTGACTGGGCCAGGCTGAAGCCAAGAACCTGTAACTCCATCCTATGTGGGTAGCAAAGGCTCAAGAACTGGGCCAACTTCAGCTGCTTTCATAGGTGCATTAGCAGGGAGTTACATCAGAGGCAGATCAGCTGGTATTAGAAAGGGACACATATGGGATACCAGCATTGTTGGCTGTGGCCTAACCCTTTGCACCACAATGCTGGCTCCTACAAATGTTCGTTCCGTGGCAAATTTAGTAAGGACAGGAAACCTCCATGAAAATTGAAACAGTTTAGCAAACTGTCCTAGAAATCTATTTTCTATGTTTTGTTGCTTCCTTCAACTCTTTTACAGCAAAATGTTAAAATATCGTGTTAGAGAGCCTAGGAGGTTCCAGGGAACAATGCACACAAGTTACGTGAGGGTAATAGCTTTTATCATGTTCATGATGCACATAGATAGTGAACAAGTGCTATCCAAAAGGAAACTAGAGGACATGCCTTGGACCCTCTTTGCTTAGTAAAGAAAACATTTTGTTTAAAATTTACAGGCAGATTTTCAGAGGTTATACCACCAAGAATTCCCTACTCCCTGCCCAGCGCCAACCTGTATACCTCCCGTTGTACACCAAAATAATGTTTGAATGTTTACCTTGCCAGATCCTCTACATGAAAGGTGTGAGGATGTAAACTCTTCCAACATTTTAAAGTTTGTAATTCAACCATCCTCGACAATAAACATGTGAAATAAACTAAAAATAGACATGTATACTTGTCTATGTCTACATCAGACAAAAGTATAATGTAGACTTTGCGGGGAAAATGGCCTGTCATTGCTTTTTTTTTTTTTTTTTTTGTCACTGAAAGTATTTTAAAGGTCTCATTTATTTCAGCCCTCATTTAATGCATTGGTACAAAATGCATCAGGACTTTATTCTACAAAAGAATAAAGATCAAAACTACAGCTACAATATCAGGTTTTTAAAGATGTCAAATCTTAACAGCACTAAACCAGTTCTTCATTGTTCCTTATGTTATTCTTATTTTGTAAGTACTCAAACAGCCTGTGCAATTCTTCCCTGCTTCTTTTCTGCAATGATTTTCTTTTCAATGACTTAAGCAGTCTATTCTCAAAAGCAAAGCTCAGAAATCCAATTACCATTCCAACACCATGCTTTTGTAAGCCTGGAGCATTAAACCATAGACTATGCTTCCTCTTGCCCCTTCTCTACACCTCTCACTCAGGGACTGCGTGTTTCCCTATCAAAAGGAGTTTGGGCTTTATTTCCCTTTGCTTGGCTTTTGTTGGATAAGGAAAAGTGGTCATAAATTACCTTAAAACAAATAGAGAAAGGAAAAACTATAAATCTTTTTTGTGAGAATAAATCCAAGATTATGTATAAGGGAAAAAATGTGCAATTTCCTCCTTAAAATTGTGTCTGTTCTACCTTAAAGGTAATTCATGAATTTTAAGTCACAATGTATATTAAAAAAATACAACTGATGCTTCATTTATTTATTTATTATTATAAAAATTATTTATTTTATTATTGGAAAAATTTAAAGATTTATAGCTAACAGTGCCCTACTAATTGCAGTAAAAATGTAAGAACCCTGTTTACTGGGTTTTTTGGTGAGTAACTTCACCATCGGGATATAATACATGTGGAATGTCTGTATGCATCTGGATATGTGTATGAACAAGTAAAAAGGATAGGAAATGACAGAGATATTATAGTAAAATTTCTAACATTATTTCTGGAGGCAATAGGCAAAGACATTGACAAAGGGTCAAGGAAAGAGAAAATCTTTAATTGGATTGAGGCTGACTGAATCCATTTATAAGAACTCTGTGTTTAAGGTTTTAACCATGAGTCACCTCTAAACAGCACTGCTCTATCAAAGACAAAAGAATGCAAATTATCTAAGACCTACATCTGAATGGAAACCAATTTTTCATAGCTTGTTTTAGAATGAAGGTAAGATACATGTGGAACTCCTTGGAGGTGATAGGAATTTTAAGATTACAGAGCCAAAAGTCCTCTGGATCAATGACCATCTGACACCTTGATTATCATTTTCGTCTAGCATTAGCTTTAGGAAAGAAAAATGCATTAAAAAAAGCCAGAATTGATAAAGAGTTTATATTTCTAAAGAACTATTCATTTTAAATCATAATCATTTCAACATAAATTATAAACATATTGTACCTGTGTGTATGTGTGTGTGTGTGTGTGTGTGTGTGTGTTTATGTATGTGTTACTGCAATCAATAAAATCTGCTCTGGAGGAAAAAAAAAAAACCCTTTAAGAGTCTTTATTTTACAGATGAGGAATCTGTCACAGATTTTAGGATAGCTCCACTGTTTTGGCAACAATGGATTTAATGCTTACTTGATATAGGCAGAACAGCAAACACAGAGGATTAAGTGGTACTCAATACACATGTGCTTACTTGAAGGCACCCACAATCAAAACTGGAAGCAAGAGTGCAGAGGAGGGGAGAGATAGATAATTCCAATGCACTGTGAAAACTAGTTTGCAAGAATCTTGAGGAAATTAGAGTGTCAGAGGACAAGCAGTTCTAATAGGGGACTTGGTGAAAGCTTTTTCAGAAAACAGTGGGACAGCAGGGATTACTCTAAGCAAAAGGAACACTGCCAGGTACTTAAAGACACAGAGCCTGCAGAGAACACATACATATGCTAAAACACAGAGGATCTAAGGGCTGGTGGCAAAAAAATAATGCTACTAAAGAATAGACTATAAGAAATCCTTTGTTTGATATGAAATATGTTTGGACATCATTCTATAGGTTATTCTCTTCTCAAAATATGATTTTGAGAGCAGTACTAACAGAGAAACAATGTTTCAATGTTTTCAAATGCACATTGTTGGGGCAAGCTCATAATCTGAATCTGCATGACGTATTCAAGAAACCATCTTACAAGTTCACCAGATGATTCTATTAAGTTAGCTTCAGAACCACTCCTAGAGAGGTAATGAGAAGGCCATATCATTATAAGTAAGCTTTATTCAAGGAAAGGTTTGGAGGCAGTGTGGAGAACAGACTAGAGGGAATGAATTAAGAAGTTGGAAGTATCTAAGGGAAGCTACTCCAAGAGCCAAGGCAAATGATGGTACATGACATCCTTGCAGATTGACTTTTAATATTCTGTGTTTCATATACACATCTGCCTGCTTCTATTTTAAATATCTTGGGTGAAGCCACTCCATCTGACTTCTGTCTTAGAAAATAAGCCTTTGGCTTCTTCCAAGAAAGCCAAATAGGGGGTAGCCATGCTAACTTCAGCTACTCTGGGATATAAAAAGAACAAAAGAAGGACCACACTTCCGTGGATCTGACTCATGGAAATTTTCAGCAAAGAAGTGAAAAAACAATGAAGACTCCATGGGAGAAGAGGAGAGAAGACAGGCACTGTTGCAGCCAGCCACTGGGTGCAACCAGCCGCCAGATGTGAGCTGCCATCTTACCATGTCAAAGTATGAAGAAATTGTTGTGTGCCTCAACACTTGGAGCTTTAGTTGAGATGGAATTCCAGTCAACCATTGATTTTTACTTCAGACTGGGAAGCTGAGTGGGGCCTGAGCAACTGTTGGGTTGCAGCAGGGAAGCTGCCTTGCTTCCTTCTCCTTTCCCACTCCCACAGAGCACCATAATTGGTAGCAAAACGTCAGGCAGTCAGGAAGAGATGCCATCTAAGAATTGAAAGGAATTTGCAGCAACCCATGTCACTGATAAAACTGCCTTGGGGTAAACCTTGTGGACCACACTGATTTGAGTCTGGCCTGGAGTGCTAGTCGGAGGCAGGGTGTCCACCTAATCCCCCTAAGGGAGAGCTCATTGCAGGCTTCCCCTCACATACACACACACAGACAAAGGCTCCCAATGCTGGGAGGAAGCACCATCTTAATAAGGTGGGTATAGTCCGCCACAGCTCATGTATGTTACAAGTGGGATAAAATTCACAGCACCTACTAACTTTGGTTCTGGCAAGGAGGATTGGCAGGGGGTGGGTGACCACTATTCTATCACTGGTGACAGTACTCAAACTGTCAATATTTCCAAATTTCTAACAGGGATCACTTTTCAGTTAAAATTTAAATACTTAAGAGTAATTGTGTGTTAATTACAGAGTTCAACCAATGGTACTCGAACAAAAAAAATACTAT